CTTGCGGATTCTCTAGAGGTCACAATTTTTTTCCGATTTTAAAAACCGTTTAAATACATCACTATTCCACCATAATGAAGATTAAGTCGTATTTCGGGAAAATCGAAATGAAACTACCCGACAAAATGGCCGCTCTTTGTATGCAAATTGTGTAGAAATGTGTAATACGAAGGTTGTGGACCCTATAGAGGTCACAATTTTTATCCGATTTTGATGAAACTTAAAACATATCTTTATATCCCAAAGATCGCAGTCCCTTTTGATATTTGCACATTTCAAGCCATAACTTTCTGGATTTTTGCCCCTGATTGTACAAAAAATCATGTTTGTTTTTAGTTTGTTCTCTATCCATCTGTTGCAAAATGTGGGCGTATCATGTCTGGCAACTGCTGGTATTTCTTTTCAAGACTTCTAGAGCTGGCCTGGTCGTGATCTGAACACACCATATCTTGGCATTCGGATTTTTAACTGGTAATGTCACCGCAGTATATGTTTCAATGGGGTAGGGTTACGGCTATGTAGGCTATACCCCAGAATATTGGCCCGGATAATACATACGTTTCCCTACAAGCAATAAAACGGAAGTAGAAGTGAACATGCGCGCTTTGGTTCCAGTAAAGCCGTTGATCTGAATCAAGCGCGCCGCACTCAAATTTTGACTGAGAATACCTTTTTTCGGAATAGTTGTTCCATATTGAATTCGGAAAAATATACGGATTTTAGTGAATTGAGTGTTACGCGTAAATCCGGAATAAGACTTTATTCTGAATTAAATTCAGATTAAACCCCCTGTGTGAACGCACCCTCTGTGATATAGGTAATAATGCTTCGTTGACATTTGATTCATATATAATTGGCCTTTTGCATGCCCGCGTTGTTCATCCAGGCGGGGGAGGGGTGGTGTGGCCGAATAGTTTAACACGCACGCGTGAGTGAGATCATAAGGTCTGTCATTGAATTAATCGGAGTGGTTTCGGTTCCGTGCTTATACATGACAAGAAGTAGGGTCGAATGTCCATCCTCGTGGGTTTTGTATAAATAATTAGCTTGATGGGTTCCTCTTTCATTATGAACAACCTATTGTTACTTGAACCCAGCTTATTGAAAGCAATCAAGATTTGCTCTAACGAATCTAATTTTTAAATACTGGTTGTAAGAAATAATCATGCTGTACCACAGAACCAACCCGTCATCATATTATTAATATATTACAAATACAAAATTTAAGAAAACTGGTGTACATCGTTTACGACATTTTGCTGTTGGCTTCGGTATAACAAATAATTTTGGGTTGTAGAATAATTTTATGGTGTATAACACCACCCTTAGGCGGGTTTAACATGAAAGGTGATTCCAATCTCGCTGTACAATTAACAATTAACTACGTGAGAATATTAAATTATTTAGGGCTACCCGGCAGGGCTGTTGTGGGTAATTTTTCCCAGTTGATTAGCACTGCTAATCAAAAAGTCCAATTTTGCCAAATTTGATTAGCAAATTCAAAAATGGATTAGCAGTTTTTTCAGTTTCAACATAAAACATCTAAATAACAAAATATTACTTTCATTCACAACAAATGATCAGATTTCATTCTTATATTTTTTTAGCACTGCTACAGGTACCTGTGACAATTTGGGAATGTTTTGGTTAGGTCTTATGTCTGAAAGCAATTTTATTTGTTATTTCTTCGTTACGTTAGAAATCTTCGTTAAAAAACAAATGCGTCTGCTTTTTATTTTCGTTCAATCGGACACATGCGAAGATTAACGAATAAAGTCGATTAAATAGACACACGCGACATAAACAATAATATTTTACGGGAATTCTTACTTCGATTTCTCATATTACAATACGTTTACATATATTTATTTTTATATATTTTATTTACAATACGTGGGAGATACACTGGAAATTGACATGTCTTGCAACATCAGTGGTACTACTTGATTCCCTATTTCCGGTTTAATGGTTCCTATTCATAGAGTTATGTCCCTGTATTATATAGTATAATGAATTGTGTCTTGGTAGTTCGAGAAGAAAATGTCACACGGAGAATTCAGTTTCGTTTATAAAATTTTATTTGACATTTTATACAAGTTGAAAGTGTTGAAAAAGCCTTCTAGTCTTCAAAATGGGAATACATCTTCGTGTCAATATCCAAAATGACAGGCATATTAATGATTTGCAGTTAATGCGAATCAAAAACGTTAGATTTTAATTTTTGATTAGCAACGGACAAAATATGTATCGCAAATTGCGCTGCGATACTGGTTGTCGGTAGCCCTGCTACTCGAGCCTACCATACTTTAGGGTCCTCCTCAGACCACCAATGCCGCCCCATCCCCATGACAATTGATGTCATAATACCGTCCTATTTTATAATTGTTTGGTCTTTCCACGATATCCACAGCCTTCTTGAAATTCGCAAAGTTTATGTATGCCAGTGACTACCATTACCGCAGGGTCCGGTTCGATGATTATTAGATTATTATTAATTATTGGTTCTGTACATGATCGTCCAGTTTACTCATCTCTAAACTTTACATTCACCACATTTAATCATCTGCAGAATCGCTATAGGCCTACGTTTACAAAGTAGCAAAACCTTCATACATTCGGTACTTCTAGAAGTCATGCAAAACATCTGCTGGTATGTTGATAAAGCCTGTTGTTTTCTATTCTTTAATATTTTGGTAATCGCCCTGAAGGTCTATCCTTTCTAACTTTCAAGTGCCGAAGTATACTTTGATTTGGTTAGAATTTTCCCCACCCTGTCACGTCAAGTTCATAGCAGGCAGTTCTTGTCTGGGTACTACATAGAGTGTTCTCGGATATTTGACTCCTTTTGTCTGCGATATCACTTCGGTGGAAGCGGACGTTAAATAAAGCTATTTCACACACATTTGACTCCAACTTGATGTGCCTTTGATTCTAGCGCGTAAACAGTTTTGTCCGTTACGCCGTATTTTGTCTGGAAATGGTAGTCTTTTCTTGTCCCTGGTGAACCTTCTGGCTTTAGCCATCCCACCCAGTCTTTTCTTGTTGTTCATTTAGCTTGCGAGTTTGACCCTCAGCATAGCCACAACCAGTGCATTGTTGGATCCCACGTCTGCCCCCCCCCCCCCCGTCCTGTATGCCTGTACAGTTTTCTACAAGAGATGATACTATGATCTAGTTAGATCTCTGTCACTGAGTTAAAACTACGATTGGGAAAGGCCGTTTCATTTCACAGAAGTCATTCATCTCACCAAACCATGCTTAGCCATGATCAATTCTCTTCCGGTATTGTGTTTTCCCACTTAGGCATTGCCAACCATAACCGGGGCTTAACAAAGACATTATGATGTGAATACGTACATGTGTTGCAATCCGTTGATTCCAGCGATAATTTGAAACTGTGCACCAACTGGTCAAACTTGAGCATTTTATGGATATTGAGAAAATAATTGGTTATTTGCCGGTTTTCCCACAGAAATTAAACTAAAACAGTATAGTATATTATATATGCCATCTCTGTGCTGGTAGAATGATATTTTTATATGTTAAAGTCGAGTTTAAAAAGTATATCTCCTTTGAATTTGACTCGTGCATTCCAGTTTAATTACTAAATTTCATTGAAACAATTTATCAGTAAGAGTTGTTAAAAAAAAAATTAACTGTACGTCATTATGGGATTAAGGTTTCAAACTATTTGGCGTTGACCAGTTGGATTGGCATTTACGTGTGAATATCGCTGTAACCTTGACGCTGACCCTGAAGAGTGGCAAATAAAATAGAACCAAGTACGAACAATACAAAACCATTACACAAAATAAAAAATCCTTAAAAACGGTATCGGTAAAATAGTGACGGTAATTTATCATTTATTTTACATAGTACATTTTCTATCACTTTCATTCGCACTAAAGATCACTTATTTTGACCAGCCTGAACATTTTTTATGCTATTCAGTAGAATTCTAATGCAGGCTGATTTCCTGATTGAATAGTGATAAATAAAAATAAAAAACAAGTACGAACAATTCAAACTATTAGACAAAATTAAAAATCATAAAAAAACGGTATCGGCAATATAGTGTAGTTAGCAAATGGACTGTTCACCATGTACAACATACAGTGGTCACAGGTGTCCGGAAGAGTAAGCTTATCCTGACTGGTGCCACACCAGCCATAGCTGCATCCAAAGAATTAGAGGAAATCTCAGTAAAATAGTATAGTAGCAAATGGATGATGAACAGTGATACCAGGTATCTTAGACATAATCAAGAAAATAGCATAAGCGTCAATTAAATATATCTAGAATAATAGCCGAAATAGACGTGCTATATTTACTAATCAGGTAAATATGACGGCCATAACACTTTTTAAAGGTTTTTCTGAGTTTAGTGGACAAGTATCCCTAGTTGAAGCTTAGATGACAAATGTCTCGATCTACTTTAAAAACATCAGAGTAAAAGGAACAAGCTCTTGCGTATTGAACTGAGACACATACACTCCGTAACCTGGTGATAGTGGAATGGTACTACTAATAAATGATAAGTTTACAATCGGAAAGTCAAAGTCATCATGTTTATCATATACTTTGACACTAAATTTATGGCAATTGTCAAAATTGAGATGCAGATCCAAGTAGGAAGCGTACTTGTCACTGTCAGTGGTGCTTTTAATTCCAAGCTCATGTAACAATATGGTCTTTGCGACCATATTATTATTGTACCTTTAACTAATTATTAGGTTCACACTTTCTATCGAGTCACATCTCACGTACTGTAACAAAGGGTGAAGTTTTTGCTGTCCTTTTGACCTAACCGCTGTTTCTAACATCGATATGAATATTGTTAAGATAAGCTACTGCCATATTGAAATGGTCATGTCGGAGAACCCGCCGACCTTTAATTTATTTATTTATTAGTATTCAGCTGTCATCATAATTATTTTTATTCAATATCAATACTATGTAACTTCATACCTCACCTATAAATTGGTTTAGGTTTCTGATGAAGTCAGTCAGTTAGTTGAGTTGAATAGCTCAACACAGAACCATGGAGGCATACGTGAATTAAGACGATGGCCGTAAAGATTACAATATTATAATATGTATTGGATGTTATACATGTAGTGTAGTTTAATGTTTGTTACCGTCTTGCTGAATTAAAGAAGTCCAATCCACAGTTATTAGATGATCTGATTATGTTACAACTCTCAAATGAAATTGAGTTATGTGTTTATATATATAAAAAAGCAGTGATAATTTGGTAAAATTACCATTGTCAAAATATCCATCAAATACTATCTTGTTTATGACGTATGTTTGGTAGACCAAATAAGGTAATGGATGTTCTCCATATTTGCGAAGGAAATTAACTCAAGGTCAGTCTATGACGTAAAAGAATTGGGGCGTTATAAAAGAGGGTGTTGAGCGAAATTTAGGAGAGCTAACCCAGCTCCGAGCAGTCATCAAAACTATATACAAGTTATTGAGAACGAGGAACATTGATGCAAAACAGTTTTAATAATAAGTTGTAGGAACGAACTAACCTGTAGTTATATTTACGATCACAAAGGAAACAACAAAGAATTCCGGTATTACTACACTCACCAGGATATATGAATTCTAAATAATCACTAAATTTAAGATTATTCAGTGAAAGAACATCATCGAAATACCGATAAGTGAAATTAAAACGTCTGACTAATCGTGTATTTGCTTGTACGAACGCCTGTATATAATCGGCTTTGTAAGAATACAGAAACAAATCAGCAATAGTTATAAAAATTCGGTCTTTTGTTAGGAATGGGAATTAACCAATATCTGATGATTTCTCTGCGTGAACCAAAGGTGCCATTGTGAGCTAGTCGTCTTAAATGATAACTTACGGCCCATGCTCTTTCTATACTTGAGATTTACTAGAACAGCGGCTTCTGCCACCTGCCCGGCTCTCTAGACTAACAGTTTGGAACATAAACGAAATTAAAAACGATAATACAGAAATATTAAAAAATAAGCTGATTATGACCAGTCTATTAGTTTCTTTCATGCGAACATTTTACATGCGTGACGTGAAACAAGATTAAACTGATTGGCATAGATAAACTAGTCGTTAGTTTCCGTCTGCTGCAGAAGTAAAAGTCACTGACTGACTGGTTCCGGGTTCGATCCCTGTATTAAGCCCGGCCCATACCGCCACGACTTGCCCAGACTTACCCAACGTTGGCAACGTATTGTCTCAGATAATCAGTGTAGTGTGGACAGTCCCACGGCCACGATTCAATCGATTTTCGTCGCGTCGTGGCCCGTCGTCCCGATTGAACATGTACAATCGTAGTCAGATGCAGTTGGTTGCAGTCGTAACTTATCGTGTTTGTGTTGACACTCACACGACACGATCAATTGTCTTACTGATGTTTAGCCAATCAGAGAGTAGCATTTAGTCATGTGACTGTGCAGGTCATGTGCTCCATGATTAACTGATGGAAAATTCAAGATGGCAGATTTTTGGACAGAAGAGAGAGAGGATGGGTTGGTTTACATGTGGCAGGCACGCCCATGTCTCTACAACCCAGCATTGAAGTCCTGAGCCGACAGGACTCAGCGTCTTGGGTAGTTGTAAAAAAAAATCGGGTCGCGCCTTTACTTCACTTGCCTACGACGGTACCAGTCTACACAGGACCGACTCTCATAGATTATGCGTCGTGAGTTACGCCACTTCCCTCTAGCGAGTGATTCCAAAAGTAAACCGGGAAAACAAGGAGCACATGACCTACACAGTGACATGATCGTGTCGTGTGAGTGTCCACACAGACACGATGGGTTACGACTGCATCCAACTGCATCCGACAACGACTGAACAGGCTCAGTCGGGCCGACAGGCCATGACACGACGGAAATCGATTGAATCGTGGTCGTGGGACTGTCCACATTGCACTGATTATCTGAGACAAGACGTTGCGTTGGGTAGACTCTGGGCAAGTCGTGGCGGTGTGGGCCGGATTTTACTTGACGAAAACCAATCCATTCATCCCTAACAATTTCCGCAAAACTGATAGATTAACAACCAACCAACTGAATAGAAAAACAAGGAAAATCCTAGAAGCGATTAACATTAGGCGCTATTCACCCAAACTAAACAGGGACGCGGGGCTTCATATTTCAAGGGCATACGATCAGGTCATCAAAATGAACAATTCAACTTAAGTTACAACCCATTAATCACAAACTTTAACTGTTTAGTTAGTCTGAGAGAATTGGCAGTGTGTACTTGCTTTCTTACTATTAGTATGTATGTATTAGTAAGTTAAATGGTCCCCCCGCTATTAACTTCATTTGTCATTTCTTTTTGAGCGTTCACATACTATTAGTATGTATGTAATAGTAAGTTAAATGGCCCCCCCCCCCCTTTATCACCCCATTTATTACAATATGTTTCCAACCTATGGCTTTTTTCTGGACTGTTTAACTTATGAGGCTATTAACTTCATTTGTCATTTCTTTTTTGAGCTTTCACACTCTTAATTTTTTCATTGTCATAACCACTTGCTCATCTACCATACATATTATCACCCATCTTGCTTATTTAGCCTTCTGTTAATGGACTATGCAATGCCTACATTAATTTATTATAAGTGTTAACCATATCTTAGTAAATGGTTTCATCCCTATTACCTCATTGAAACAACATAACAGCATCCAACGGCTCCCTTTGATGGTCTTCATAATTAGCTAAATGTTTTCCATTGTTGTTGATTGTCTAATTAACTACCCTACTTATCTTATGTCTAATTTGTTTAATCCTTTATCTTTATTGTTATTGTTATTTTATCTTATTATATGGTTTCACCATGTCCACTCTTATATATTCATCTGAAGTTTATGAAATGTCATTGTGCTTGATAACGATAAGAGGATACTTGTCGAAACGTCGTGCTTTTAGAATAAACCAGTGATTGTTTCCCATAAAAATTGTGTTCTATAAATGTGTTTTCCAATCGCTAAATGCCACTTAAAGATTATGATAGATTTTAATGTGACGCCTTAATAACTTGCTTGTGCTTCGTCTTATGCATAGAACTGTTGATTGGTGGGGAATATTTATTTTTATAATTTATCTTTTTTCATTATAGACTGATTTGGTTTTTGTCATTTAATAATTAATGATCTCTATCACAACTACACATTGTTTTGTCATCCTTAGTATTAATGCCCCCGGGCATAAAGACAGAAGAAAATCCACCGAAATTTGTAATATAAAATAATAAGAGGATTCGTATTTTCATGAAATGGTATTGCAGGGAGAAATTAAAGCCAGTACAGAAAAATTGTATCTTAATCTTTTCATCCATTTACAACAGCAATATGAATAGACTTAAAAGTGAAGTGAAATGGGGTCTAACACCCCACTTTTCTGTACCGATTGGGCTAATGAATACGGGCTAGACTTAAAAGTACATAGGTGCGAGTAACGTTTAATTGACTGGGCAACGGGTATTGATAAAATAATCTAAAAACAGTCTATTGTTTGGCAAACATACTTTACTGTACAATATATCTGAAATACTTTCTTGTAGGTGTGATTGCTACAGTTGGTAACCTAATGGTGCTGACAATGTTTTGTAGAGAAAAACAACTTAGAAGGAAGCCACATAATCTTCTTTTGCTGAATCTGGCTATAGCTGATATAGGAATATCCGTGTTCGGTTATCCTATGACAACTGCTTCCAATTTCGCTAAAAGATATTTATTTGGAACCACGGGATGTATGATTCAAGGGTTTGCAACATTCACGTTAGCCCAAACTGATATGAATACCTTAGCCTGTTTGAGTGCCTACCGTTATATTAGTGTTTGCAAACCTCAATACAGTAAGTATAATTTGTAATGACTTGTTATGGAAGCGTTGGAAATTGTGTTCGTGTGTTACGAACTAGTTGTTGTTCTTAGCGTTTAACGTCCGCTTCCACCGAAGGTGATATCGCAGACAAGTTCATTTTAATGATCTTAGCGCACGCGCAGGGGTCTTTGCTGTGGGAGGAAACCGGAGTACCCGGAGTAAACCCACGAGGTTGAGAAGGCGCCCCTATCTCCAAGCCACATACGCTCACACCTGGGATCGAAACCACAGCCGCAAGCCAGAGGTGACCGGCCAACTAGAGGTCGAAGCGTGACACTCTAGACCACTAGGCCATCCCAACCCCCGTTACGAACTAGTAAGCAGCTGTGGTTTATAGCTGTGAGCTGGAGATACAATCAGTCCAGCTGATGTATGTAAATGGTCAAGTTAGATAATCCACCGATCCCACACAATTGTTCTGTAGCCTGCCATAATTATGATTATAGTGAGATAATCTATCAATGTCAGCTGATTTCATTATGTAGCATTTATAGGAGTTCTTTCATTCAATATCATTTATGCATGTACAATTATAGATTGTAATAAATGAATTAGTAAAAAAAATTGGCTTAGGTATATGATATAAATGAGAGGGAAATGCAAGGCGGAACGAGGGTATGCCACAATGGGGACAGACGTGAATTTGAGCGATTGCTGTAATGACTACAACCTGTTATAATATGTTCCAGTGTGCTGTATTGGTTATTAGAAATTAGAATTATAGATGTAATGACTTTTAATGTTTGTTCCTGCATTGTTGAAATAAAGAAGTCAAATCCACAGTCATAGTTATCATTAGATTCTTTGATACTACGTTACATATTTACTGTGGCTACTACATTGTAATAATTAAGCCCCAACATATCCGATTTAGTAGACTTTTGGTAAAGTGATATGCAAGTACCCTAAATTCCAAAACAGTTAAATCCAACTTTCTGCATATTTATTCCAGGTCATAGGGGGCCTGTCTCGTAGATTTACTGATCTAAAAACAAACATCAGTTTTCGTTTGACAATATATGACTTTATAGACCGTAGTTTATGTGTTATGTCATTTCTTTGTCAGAGAAGAAATGTCATAATATAGGCACAAGTTTAGCATTAATTTTCCTTTGTTTTTTTATATTTTAATTATATTTCCCTTTTAGTTTACAAGTTGGACATAAAGTTCACTAAATGGGTAATAGCCTTCATGTGGATATACTCTATAATTTGGACGGCTCCGCCATTATTTGGATGGAGTTCCTATACTTTTGAGCCTTTTGGTAAGACAATAATACATTATATGATTATATAATTCAGGGTCTTCATTAAGCCTGTATGGCTTCTTGACCTCCTACTTATTGATAATACTATAAATCATCAATCGTGCTTATTTTAAATCAATATTCATTATTGGTAAGTCATAAACAAAATCGAAACGACTTGATAATTTTCCGGAACGTTCATACCCATCTCATACATCTAAGCTGCCTGACTAATTGAAATAACTCCCCAATATCCTGCTATATAATGGGGCGATATGGCCTTTAGATTAATTGTGTAAATATTAGTAACATATCCCCCGTTAGGATACAGACAACAATAGATCTTTGTTTTATCTATAACCTTAATGCGGAAGAAAGTCAACTAGCAAGGTTCTGCACTTACTATTAAATTTAAGAATATTAATTTAGACAATTAAAAATAACAAAAGCTCTTGGGAGAACACTAAGATTTGTCGACAATTTGTTTTAATGCACATTAAGCTATCCATGCTATTTAATCTATAATTGTATTTGTCCCATATTATTAGAAATATATTTTCGGATGAAAATAAATAGGTTTTCTGGGTTGATTAGACAACTTAGTTAGTTTCATTCAGCGTATTGTATTATTTCAACAGGAACATCATGCAGCATAGATTGGGCAAATCGTAGTACAGCAGCTGTTGTGTATACCTGGTGTTTGGTTGTATTCTGTTACCTCCTCCACGTCTTCATTATGATATTTTGCTACACCAGTGTATGTACAAGGGCAAAGGAAATCCAGAATAGTCTTGAAATGTCCACGATTAAACCCATGGGTGGGGAGGATATAACTTGCTGTAAAAAATTAGAAGTTGAAAAACACGTTACCTGGGTAAGTTGTGGTGATCCATTTTATGTGATTTTTGGTCTAGAACTATCTATAACCAAGAGTGGGGAATATATACTATTCAAAAAAAGTAGGGGATATTTGATTTTGGGGGCATAATACTAAAATATGCAAATGACTACGAAAAAAGTCACTATAGAACCTAACAGAAGAAACATTTCCAGTTACATGTGACGCCCAAACGCACCAATAGCTACCGCATGGAATGCAGGTGATGCTTGGGATCATCATGGGGGTCCAACCCAAGATTTGCACGACTCTGACTTTGAATGTTACAGTCATTGTGGCATTGAATTCCAGGGTGGAAACATCAGTTTAATTGTTTTAGTGACCAGAAAACAAATTTTGATATGCGTCGGCTTACCCAAAATGAAAGGTTACGTGCCCTTGGCATGCTACAGATCGGCACAACACAGGCGGTTGTGGCGCGGACGATGAATGTTTTTCAGTCTGTCATAAGCAGGCTATGGTCCAGATACCGTGATACACAATCTGTACAGGACAGACCACGCTCAGGTCGACCAAGGGCGACAACTCAAGCCCAGGATCGATTTATCCGTACCTTGGCCTTGAGAAATCGTGTCATCACAGCAAATCAGATCAGCGCTCGTCTTCAAACAGACACTGGTGTGAGAGTGAGTGGCCAGACGATTCGGAATCGACTGCATAGGGGTCACCTTCGCGCCCGACGCCCTCGCGTGATCCCTTGTTTGAGAGATCATCACATTCAGGCAAGACGTCGTTGGTGTAGGGATCGTCAACACTGGGATAATCGACGCTGGAGCAATGTGATGTTTTCAGATGAGTCAAGGTTCACTGTTGATTTTTTGGACAGACGTAGGAGGGTGTGGCGTCGTCGAAACGAGCGCTTCCAAGACGTTAACGTCATCAGACATGTTCGATTTGGGGGTGGTTCTGTTATGGTGTGGGGAGGCATCACTGTTGCTGGAAGAACGGCTTTACATGTTGTTGCAGGGCGTGTTACAGGCCAGTACTACCGGGACAACATCTTGGCAGTCCATGTTGTGCCGTTCGCACGACGTCATGGCCGCCGTTTCATCTTCCAGGATGACAACGCAAGATGTCACAGGGCCAGGATCGTTACAGGTTACCTCCAACAACAGAACATCACCACATTACCTTGGCCAGCACTGAGTCCCGACCTCTTCCCCATCGAGCATGTCTGGGACATGCTTGGACAGAGGTTACGTCAACGTCAACAACGTCCTGCCAATGTCCAAGAACTTGCTGCTGCGTTGCAACAGGAATGGGACAATCTGGACCAAAATGACCTTAGACGTCTCATTAGGAGTATGCCACGTCGGATCAATGCTTGTTTGGCAAACAGAGGAGGATTTACCCGTTACTGACTTGGTTGTGATGCTGTGGTAACTTTGCTGTTTGACCCCGGGTATCATTTTACCCTTATAATGGAATAAATCGATGAATGTGAACTTCATTTCATTTTGTCATTTGTTTCTTCGTCAGTTTCATTAGGTGACTTTAATAACACTTAAAAATCAAATATCCCCTACTTTTTTTGAATAGTATATAACTTACTGTAAAAACATAGAAGTTGGAAAACACTCTACATGGGTAAGTTGCCGAGATCCATTCTATGTGATTTTGGTAGAGATGTCCTACTGTGCCTTAATGGCGCTCGATTTTATTTATAAAAAGCAGTTCAAAAGTTTGAATAGGACAACAAAGTGTCTTCGGATAAAACTATTCGACCGGGCTCATCTGTGACAAAGACAGCGTTGAATTTGTGTTGATATTCGGACTTAATTTTGACAATAGTTTATATACTGCATTGGAGGATTTTGCTCACAGCGTTAAAATATGTTATACGCCCACATTTTCATGTGGACGTATATTGTCGTCGCCCCTGTCCGTCCGTCGGTCCGTCTGCCCTGAAACTCTACAGGTCACAATTCTTATCCGATTTTGACGAAACTTGAAATATAGGTTTATCTCCAAAAGATCTCGGCTGCTTTCGATATTGGCATGTATGGGATCGAAACTTCATGGATTATGGCCCCTGTTTGTACGAAAAATCACGTTTTTAGCTTGTGGACCCTATAGAGGTCACAATTTTTATCCGATTTTGTTGAAACTTGAGGTGTAGGTTTATTACCTAAAGATCTCGGTTCCTTTCGATATTCGCGCATATCGGACCGTAACTTCCTGAATTATGGCCCCTGATTGTACGAAAAATCGCGTTTTTAGCTTGTGGACCCTATAGGGGTCATAATTTTTATCCGATTTAAAAAAAAACGTATTATTATATCACCGTTACACCTAAGGACGATTGAGTTCGACAGACAAAATTGCCGCCGTTCGTTCTCAAATAGCGTAAAAATATGGTATATCAAGGTTGTGGACCCTATAGAGGTCACAATTTTTATCCGAATTTGGTGAAACTTGAAATTGAAGTTTATAACCCAAAGATCTCGGTTCCTGTCGATATTCGCCCATATCGGATTGTAACTTCCTGAATTATGGCCCCTGATTGTACGAAATATCACATTTTTAGCTTGTGGACCCGATAGAGGTCATAATTTTTACCGATTTAAAAAAAACGTATTATTATATGACCGTTACACCCTTAGGACGGCTGAGTTCGAATTTCGTGAAAATCGTCTCAAAACTGACAGACAAAATGGCCACCCCTCGTTCTCAAATAGCGAAAAAATATGGTATATTATCAAGGTTGTGGACCCTATAGAGGTCACAATTTTTATCCGATTTTCTTGAAACTTGAAATGTAAGTTTATAACCCAAAGATCTCGGTTCCTTTCGATATTTGCGCATATCGAATTGTAATGTCCTGAATTATGGCCCTTGATTGTAGGAAAAATCACTTTCTTTTTAGCTTGTTCTCTATCCATCTCTCGAAAATGTGGGCGTATCCTGCCTGGCAGCCGCTGGTACCTGATATTATTTATAATCTATTGTCATGGTCATCTATTATTTAACGTATGTATATATGTATGACTAATGTTTAATTGTTTATATACATTATAAAATCTGATGACGCTTAAGAAAGAGCAGACAGCTAGCTTATAATTTGATGTATATCGGAATGAAGTAAAGTGGTTGATTTTTTAAACTGGACGTATATTAATATTTATTTATGTATTTATCAACCTTAAACATAGAAGTACTTGCACGTCATTTAATATACATGTTACCATTTTTTATAACATCCGCCTCCTGTCCAATTAATTGTTTTTACAATATTTCAGATATGTCTGCTAATGACAGGAACGTTTACCATTCTCTGGTCACCTTATACGTTTGTGTGTCTTTGGTCTGTCTATGATGCTAATCTACCAATATGGATCACCACCTGGCCAACCATGTTTGCTAAAGCTTCTTGTATGATTAATCCGATCATCTATTACCTGAGTAATCCATTATTCAGGAAATGTGCTGGAAGACTTTTAAGCTGCCAATTCCGTCACAGAGAAATCGTTAGGTAAAAGTATAATGTCTGTCTACTACATCGTTAACACTGTTCATCACGTGCATTTTGCATACCGATAGTTCATTGGCCAATCACGCTATTTTACCGAGATTTCGCCTAATAGTTTGGATGCAGCTGTGGCGGGTGTGGCGCCAGGCAGGGTAAGCTTACTCTTCCGGACACCTGTTACCACTGTTTGTCGTGTATTTTGTACACGGTGAGCAGTCCATTTGCTGATTACACTGTTTTGCCAGATTACACTATTTTGCCTATACCGTTTGTTTTTGGAACACAACCGGTGTAGGTTGTCATTGATAGTCCGTTGGCCAAACACGTTATTTGCCTAGTTCATTGGCCAATCACGCTATTTTACCGAGATTTCGCCTAATAGTTTGGATGCAGCTATGGCGGGTGTGGCGCCAGGCAGAGTAAGCTTACTCTTCCGGACACCTGTTACCACTGTTTGTCGTGTATTTTGTACACGGTGAACAGTCCATATGCTGATTACACTATTTTGCCTTATTACACTATTTTGCCTATACCGTTTTTTTTAGGACTTCGAATTTTGTCTAATGGTTTGGATTGTTCGTACTTGGTTTTATTTTATTTATACTAGGAACGAATCACGATATCAATATTGTGTAGCTGGATCTAAAAAAAGGGCATTTACTCATGTTATCTGGATTGCTTTAAAGAAAGTGCCTTTCAGAAGCTGGAATTTTTCATACTTGGAGTTTATCTGAATGGGTTTAGACAGTGGATTCGAAATAACCCTCATTATCTCCAACCAAATATGTCATATTTAAACAGTATTAATGTTAACCAGACAGAAATAGCATAGCATAATATGTATTTTAGACAAATCCTGATTTCTATTCGCTGCTATCGAGAATATCAAAAATTCACTTAGCCACTTTCCATATTCCACCGATAAGGCTAGTTTTTAGTTCACTGTTGAATTAATTATGTAAAACTTATTATGATTTGTTATATTTCCAGACCAAGATACAGGTATAGAGTTAATAAACAATCAAGTGGCGGCATGGTCAACCGTGAAACAAATCAAGTAGAAACTCATTTCTTATAAAATTGTTTCATATACATGTAGGGAACAAACAACAACAGACTGGGACCATTACCTTTCAAACTAACCATCCTAACTCATAAATCTTTACAGAGAGAGAGAGAGAGAGAGAGAGAACTAACATATGGTTCAATTGTATTTTAATAATTCGCTTATGCTTAGGGGTTTTAAGCAGCCGGGTGGGGGACTGGAGGAAACCCACTAAGTTGACCTGGTGATCCTACTCCACGTACCAGCGGGAAATCGAAACCACACCACTCTGCTGAATAACAGACCTTATAATCTAACGCGCACGCCCTAAACCATTCGGAAACACAAACCCCATCCCCCTCCCCCAAATCTTTAAAGAATAACTGGTGTATGTATATGGTCTTGGTGGATGGGGATGGTTTTTCAAATAAATTGAAGTATTCTATTCTTTCATTCTTAATTCATCCGTTAATGTCCCGATTTTATATCGCTACATAGACAATGTGAATGTACACTCAATCAATAAACTATATTTATGAAAACTGCAGTATTGTTTCATGCAATATATATCATGTATTTTAAATTTGTTATCCAAGGTTTTTAAATGAATAATGCTGGTAAACTTTTTTGTTGAAAATCTGGTCCAGTTCCTCGATTTGACCTGGATAGAAGTTGGTGATGTATATTTGTTTATAGCACTATAAAGAACTGGCAGTGAATCCAGCAACAACTTTTAAGCTGGGTTTACACTGTCGATATACTGTCAGTAAATCGTCGGGATTTTGAAGTTATCCAATTTTTCACTGAGAATTGAATAAACACTTTAAGGTGGAGTGCTAAGTTAAGCCAGTTTGTGACATTGAGGGAGTTGCACAGTTTCGACTGTTCGAGTTCGATAGCGAGATTACCAAACAACTGGCCGGTCTGAAACCAATTCTCCAATTCAGAGAAATGAAATGAAATGAAATACGGTTTAACGCCTTCCTGCTAATGAAGACGGGCATATACTATGAGAGAAATTTTGCCCGGACAGCGGGCACTACGGTCTACTCTTATATCGAATTCCAACTGTCAAGGGATCCTTTATGTGCACGCCGATGTGTACACGGGGCCTCGGTTTTTCGTCCGATCCGAATGTCTAAACAGCTGTCCTTGTCAGGCCCTCCGTCCTGCATCACTGACAAGGGAGAACCACGCCGGAAAATCGGGATGAACTTTCTCGGCCAATGCAGGGATCGAACACCCGACCTCCAGGCTAGCGAGCCAGTGTCTTACCTACTTATCCACCGTGACCCCCTCCAATTCAGAGGGAAATAACTTGCCCATTTCTAAATGCCAAGGAATAGAAATTTAGCTCTTCTAAACTTTTTATGCAAATTTATTGTGTCTGCACGCAAACTTAGTTAGTGGTTGTTAGTTTGAAAACAATACTTTACGTGGAATAGGTTCATCTGTTGAACGCTACCTGCGCATGCATAACTATGGACAAACACTTCGTGAAAGTGTAGCCTTTTCTGGATACAGAGATGTAATGACGGCTAAGCAGAAAGAATTAAAATCCCTTGGAAAGAGTAACTTACTTCATAGATCTGATGCCATAACAGATAAAGAGATAGAATCTCTGTCTCAGGCCAAACAGTTAGGATCAACTTTGCCACGGCCAATTTTAAATTCACTTTGGTTTTACACCACCATACATTTTGGTCTACATGATTCTGACAAGCACAAACAAATGCTATTGGGTGATACTGAACTGAAATTATATAGTAATGGGTTAACAGAGTTGACACCAAAAAGGTGGGTAAATACACACGTTATCCAGTAGAACTATACAAACTTTTTAAGAGTTTGGGGCCACACAAGTAACTTCTCAAATTCGTGTTCAACTGTACCTAATCCCAAATTTAATGAAAACCATGTCAAAGGCAGCTGGAATTTCAACAGATAAAAAACTTACCGATCCTCTCGAGAGCGATAGTCATTTTTCCCTCTTTTTAGTCGATTTTTCTCACCCAATCTCACCCATGGTCTTTTAGTTGTGTTGTTCCTCCTGCATTCCGATTTATTGCGTTACTGCTCCCCAATACTTAAAGTAGTTAAGTCTATAACTCAGTATCATCCAAAGTCTTCGACATTAAAAACACGAATTATTTATCAATTTAAATTAACACTGATGTTGTGATCTTAGTGGGAAAAGATGAGCTTCTGATATCCAATATTTAAGACAAAATAAACACTTTACCATTGGTATACGAATCGTGTACCATAATGCGTTTCAGCGCCATTTGTAACATAGGACTCGAAGAACGAGGCTAGACATATTCTACATATAATATCAAACGCAATCTGTTTCACAGAGGATAACGAAAGTCTATGGTATCATGCCATGATGTCGTCGTGTCGCCCTTCATAAGACGACAACCCGACATCACGACATTTTAACCCGACACCACGACAACCCGACATCACGATATTTTAACCAGACAATACGACATTTTCACCCAACACCACATTAAAAATGGACCGTGGCATTTCTTCGTCGAATTTCAACTGTGAAAGATTCTTTTATGTGCACGCAAATGTGAAATTCAATCTAATCAAATCTAACCCTAACTATGAAAATACGCTCGAAAATATTGCAACAAATAGGATTGTTTACACAGAAACGCAAAAGTCTTTTTTCTAATTTTTCAATTTTGTTAAACTATTGAAGTTATTAGTATTGTTATTATTTCGAGTTTTATTTACTGTTTCATAATTGCTAGTTAATGTAAACACAAGGATCCACTTCAGCTCATGGAAAGTCTACTTTTATTTCTAATCTACTACAGTTTGTATGAAAGTTGTATAAAGAATGAAAGTTGTACAATTTTTTGAAACGTAGAAAATATAATCATAAGACTTCAAATTCAATTAAAATGTTTAATACCTTAAAAAACTTATATACTGGTTTTTTTTTTGTCTTGTGAAATTAAGAAATTGTTTTTCAATTTCAATACTTGATAATTAAAAATGTTACCGATTAAACGTCGAAAATGAACAATAAGGTCAATTTCATGTTTAAAATGTTGATTTTGTACATGAAATATTGACATAAGATTGTAGAGACGACAATCATTTGAAACATTGTTTTCGTATAGAGAATATATAATTATGTTCAGACTGGAATGTAGAAACACAAATCATTAATGTGTCTCATTTGGCCTTCTGTAGGCATATACTGAACATTTAGCATTTGATAAATGATTAGACTGTTTGGTCCTATTGGAATACAATAAAACATATTTTATGTTTGTTCCCATTCAATTACTATTTGCAATGTAAATAAACCCCCTTTTAGTGCCAATTACCAATTCACGTCGCCTTTGCAGCAAGATAATGGAAGTTGGTTTGCCGACGTAAAATAGATTTCTTTTAACAAGTCCGTTGTTTCTAACAAGCTCAACTTTGTTGGTATCCGTCGATACCATATACCAAACTCCTCTATACTCATCCCAAATAGCCCCTTTTGGAGACTTTAGGGTGGTTCGATTTTGATCTAAATATCCGTTTTCTTCCAGGTGGTGCATTTGTTTCAATAAGGTATTTGGGGCGTCTTTTAACACAAATTCCGGTTCCCAGTTATGGTTGTATATTCTGATGGTGTTTGGATCAGTGCAGATCATAATAACCGCATTATCCGTAACATCTATGTCACTGCCGCAATTAGCATCCATCAAAATATGATTCTTTACAACGAAACCTTCATCACGAACTTCGAGTATCATCAAGGACTTTTTTTCTGGGACACCAACAATAATGTGACTTTGGTTGAGGGTTGCTATACCACCGAGTTTCCATGGAAATTTAAACTCAGAAAGAAGCAACCCTCGAGAATGAAATCGTCGAACATAGGTCGAATTCGTATAGGTTACCACAAAAGTTTCATCCTCCAGTGCCGCTATGTCTTGAATAGAACACTTCGTAATCCAGTTTTGACATCCGGATATCCTCAACTTTAATTTTGAATTACCTATAAAAAATTAAATAGGGTCATTAGTGGTAATTACCCCTTGTTTGTTTTTTTTAAACAATAGTTTCTGCAGAAGAAACGAGAGAGAGAGAGAGAGAGAGAGAGAGAGAGAGAGAGAGAGACCTTATGATAACATCCGACATTCGCCCTCCCACCCCATAAGAAACCAGTTTTAAATTAAATGTTAAGGACGTGAAATAACCGCTTTTTGGCAAATATAATAAATACTGTAATATAAACGTTCAAAATTGTACAAACAATTCTATGGTCAAAGTCAAGACTTCAAGACATATTTGATATGTATTTATAAACCTATAACGGTAAATCTCTTTGATCTTTGGGGTATATTCTTTGCCCAGAATAACTTGCGGTCTGAAAGTCGGGGACAGCTTTAAATATATACAGGGGAATTTGGGGTTAACTTCTGAAAGTTTTTCTTTAAAACTGTAACGGGTTATTCTTCTAGGGTTGGGGGTTTTCCATAAGAAAACATGATATAAGGGGTTTTCCATAAGAAAACATGATATAAGGTTTTTTTTTCTTACTGGAATTCTGGGATATTCTTATTTTACGTACATGTAAACATAGACGATAAACATGGAGGATAAAGTCCTCGATTTCGGTTATGCTGGGAAAGAAAGACTTTAGAAAAAACCCTCGACAAAAAAAACTCGGAGTCCCGGCCTCGGTTTTTCTTTTTCTCGGGTTATTTTCTTCAGTCTTTCTTTCCCCCAACATAACCTCAGTCTCGTGCTTTATCCTACGAAGAATATGCTTAAACGTTTTAAAGCTCTTGACACTACCATGGAAACACATATCGATTGCCTTTGAAGTTTTAAAAGTACAGTTGTCGATCGAAGGTTCTATATTTAATTCATCAAACTGCAGTATTGCTAATTTTGCACGAAGCTTGATTTCTCTACTGTTCTTGTACAGTTTTTTTCTACACTTTGCTACTAATTTATCTAGACTGCGTGCGTTGTCTCCTTAAACACAACTATAACATTGACAACGTTTATTACCCCAAAGCGAAAGTAACGTATTGAAAATTGGAATAATTTATAATAGATAATCAATAAAGAATAATTACAAACGTCAGATTTGATTTAGTCATTGATTAATAATAACATTATTCTTTTTCTTAGATACAGGAAATTAACGACTCGTTTGAAGTGCCTTACAACATTTTTTCACGTGAATTTATCTCTTTTCTTCTTTAAATTCTGCTGGGTCTTTTATAATTGGATAAATAACCTATCTCTTTTGTGAAGAAGAACTATAAAGTCTTTTACCGGAATCTCCAAATAGGTCAAAGGGTCGTCAATGATAAAAGTTAATTTGCTTTGAGCAGGGCCCTTATTCACGAAAACTTAAACTAAGATACAATCGAAATTTTAAGAAATACTGCAATTCGATTGGCTGACCAATATGCAAATTGGATATATGCAAATTGATTTTACTGGTCAGCCAATCGAATTGCAGTATTTCTTAAATTTACCCGTGTCGTGTACAAGATAGCTAGATGGGCGTACTTGTTCTAAAATACCAAACATCACTTCTCATTTGTGGAGTTGCACAAATTTTATTGTACTTTTCTTTATCACTCGTGGTCATCTTTTTTAAGAAAAATCTAGGTGCCCACGTTTAAGATTGCGTTTTTGACCACGTTAATACTATCAGTTCTGTCAATAGTGTGTCCTAAATTGCTAGTTCTGTCATTTCGACCGTGACATCAAGAACTCAAGCTTTATTTTGATCAGAGTCTCCCAGATGATTTGTAAGAGTTCATTCTAGCACCTATCATTGTTATCAAATAGGCATTTCTTAAGAGTACCATCTCGTTTAATTAAACACTGTATGGAGTATGCCCGTCTTCATTAGCCCAGTTCGGAGCAGAACAATAGGACGTTAAACCCCATTTCATTTCATTTAATAATTTTCCATGCACTGTCATTAAATCTTCAATGATTTCACATTTGTAGCACACAGTCTCAGACAGACACTTAATGCGATCTACCAAGAAGACCCACACACACGGTAGTGGTGGGTGAATAGACAGACACATAATCCGATCGACCAAGAAGACCTATACATAAGGTAGTGATGGTTGAATAGACAGACACTTAATCCGATCTACCAAGAAGACCTATACATAAGGTAGTGGTGGGTGAATAGTCAGACACTTAATCCGATCTACCAAGAAGACCTATACATAAGGTAGTGGTGGGTGAATAGACAGACACTTAAACCGATCTACCAAGAAGACCTATACATAAGGTAGTGGTGGGTGAATAGACAGACACTTAAACCGATCTACCAAGAAGACCTATACATAAGTTAGTGGTGGGTGAATAGACAGACACTTAATCCGATCTACCAATACATAAGGTAGTGGTGGATGAATAGACAATCACTTAATCCGATCTACCATGAAGGCCTATACATAAGGTAGTGGTGGGTGAATAGACAGACACTTAATCCGATCTACCAAGAAGACCTATACATAAGGTAGTAGTGGGTAAATATTAAATTACGAACATTTTGAGCCATAAAACAGATTTTAAATAGCAAAAAATAAATGCATTTTCATTTCCTTTGACATACTTAAATTTATTGCATCAAAACGTTTTATTAAAGCTACATTATGGGAGATTCGATAACGAGTTGGCAGTTCTCGCTATAATAATTAAAAACTAGATAACGTAAAGGCAATTTGCTGAATATTTCATTCAAATTCATCCACTATGAACCGAGAACTAAGCGAATGAAATTTCTGCCTAGCCTCGGTTATCATTACTAAAGTCAGTACAATAAACAGCATAGTCTCGATTATCCATTTAATCGTTTAATCGAGAAGGAATGTTATGCAGTAAATCGGCTCACAATCCACTTAAGATCGCAGGCTAGCGATGTCATCTAGAGTTGATTATGGTCTGGATAAGTTAATTAATGTCTAATTAATAGAAATTAGATAACATTTCAGGCCTAAAGAAAGACCTGCAATAGACAGATTTAGCTCTTGCATAAGGTATGTTTAATATGGGAAAAATAAATATTATTTTACAATTAACCATACTTAGACGAGTTAGAACTGGTTTCCATGGTGACTTTGTCAATATATATTTGAGATTATTTTCATCCATGTGGGTAAAATAAAACTGATGTTGTCTAATTATTTCTATTTCTTCATCAATACCATTTTCTTCTGTTTTAGACACATCACCTTTAATCTCATCATAAGCGTTTTTAATTTCATTTAAGTCAGACTCTATTCGAGCTTTGTCCTGAAAATAAAAATTAAATATTACAGGCGAATATTACTCAATATTGATACAGAGAAATTTGCGTAGACGTACAAGGCTCTTATTTTCAATAAATATAGTAACGGTTTCTATAACGCCAATTTTTTCAAAGTACAAACCACTTTAACGGTGACGCGTCATTTTAACTTTAATATCCATCAACGCTAAAAGAAACCTGTTTAACTGAGCGGAAATTTATAGCGGTTTTGATGCTGAATTAACGTCCTAAACGATTTTTGATAACACCACCGATTTTATACACCCACATTTTCATGTGGACATGTGAACGAATTTGACGAAACTTAAAATAGAGGTTTATCTCCAAAGGTTCTCGGTTCTTTTCGATATTGGCATGTATCGGACCGAAATTTCATGGATTATGGCCCCTGATTGTACGAAAAATCACGTTTTTAGCTTGTGGACACTCCAGAGGTCACAATTGATTTAGATGGAACTTGAAATGTATGTTTATAACCCAAAGATCTCGGTTCCTTTCGATATTCGCGCATATCGGACCGCAACATCCTGGATTATTGCCTCTGACTGTACCAAAAATCGCAGTTTTAGCTTGTGGTCCCCTAGAGGTCACAATTTTTATCCGATTAAAAAAAAAGTTCAAATAATAATATATCACCGTTACACCATAATGATGATTGATTTCAAATTTCGTGAAAATCGGACCGAAACTACCGGACAAAATGGCCGCTCCATGTACGCAAATGTGTAATATCAAGGTTGTGGACCCTTTATAGGTCACAATTATTATTTTGATCCGATTTTGATGAAACCTTAAACATATGTTTATGTCCCAAATATTTCGATTACTTTCGATATTCGCGCATATCGGACCGTAAGTTCCTGAATTATGCCCCCTGATTGTACCCAAAAGAAACCGCTGTTTTAGCTTTTGCCCCCCCCCCCCCTTTAGAGGTCACAATTTTTTATCCGATTTTAAAATAAAAAAAAACGTTCAAATAATATATATCAACGTTACACCCTGATAATGATCGCATTCGAAGGCGTAATTAACCAGTCACTCTTCACAGCTGAAGGGAGTTTATTTCTAACACATATTTTATCATAGTTCTATACATTTATAAGAGATAAATTGTGACTAGTTTCGTTCATATTTTACTCTTCAGACTGATTCAACTCACGCTGCGTGGTTCTATTTATCTTAAAATGTTTCCATATATAGAAAAAATGGTGTTAATGTGTCTGCATTCCATGTATAGTTAATAAAATCTTAAACAATAACGCACCCCAATACTTACTAGATATTATCCATGCCTTTGAAAGAAACACACTTAGATATAATTTAAGAAATAGTGATCATATTTCCCCACCCTTCTGTAGAACATCATTATATAAAAATTCGTTCTTTCCGTCAACAATTCGAGACTGGAACTTATTGGATTCATCAACAAAGAAAATAGAAAATATCAAAACTTTCAAAATAAAATTGTCTGAGAGATTCGAGATAATAAAGGCTCCAAATTATTATGCGAGTGGTAATAGAAAGTTGTGTATTTTACACACAAAACTTCGTCATGGGTGCAGTTCCCTCAACTCAGATCTTTTTCGGATAAATTTAATTGAAAATCCTGAATGTTCTTGTGGCGCGTCATCCGAAAACGCAAAGCACTATCTTTTGGAATGTAATTTGTTTGATATTGAAAGAAATGAACTTTTCAATTCTATACGTAGCTTCACCACCATAACCTTAAATATACTTTAAAAAATAAACACAAAGTTATATGGATAACAATTACTATATTTCTATTAAAGCTACGTTTCAACAATGATTCTCTTGTCGTTTTCAAGCACAATACTGATACAGATAGAAGGAATGAGATATATATACTATGTACAATCACAACATTCAATGAAAACATAATTGGGAAAACAGTGACCCTTGTTCTTATAATGAAACCATATAGATTAACAAAAGCATTTAATTGTAATGTACACTAGGTAGAAACCACTTATTAATATAAGGTTATTGCCTTGATGTATTTTAATTACCATAACAATAGATAAAAGGCGAGGCCATTTTATTAACTCTAGTAATTATAATACTAACCGTGAAACTGTATGCTGATATTTATGTGTTTATAGGTTACAGAAAAAAATTAATGAATATCTTATTGTTTGTTTTTATAAATTATAAGTACTATAATAATTATGTGCTGCATATAATGTAACAATACATTAAACTAAACTGCTAAACTGAGTAAAAGATACTAAGAATTTATGTGAAAGTAAAGTCTATGTTAATTATTAATTTAGTCTGTTTTAATTAATTCATCATAGGCTCTGGGGATATATAAACCACTGTCTCTGTTAAGTTCTGGTTGATGTCTCTTTATTTGTACTCCCTCCATTAATTTTCTAGTTTTCTTTTGATTGATGTTGATATTAAGGGTATTTACAGCTGACCAGTTCACTCTGTGGCGGGGGTTGTTTTTCAGGTGTTCTGATACAGCTGATTCATTGGTGGTGCCTTTAGACTGGTGCTCTTTGAGACGGATATCTAATGGACGCTTACTTTCACCTATGTAAAATTTCTTGCAGGAGCAGGTAATCTGGTAAACACTTCCCTTTGGTTGCAGAGGTATTGTTGGTCGGCATTTACCATTTGCGCTGAGGATATCTTTTATTGTAGAACCAGTGTAGAAGCTGGTGTCTATTCCCGCTGGCTTAAGGAGCCTCCGGATTTGGTAGGATAGCTTGTTGTGGAATGGTATAGAGATGCGAATTTGTGAATCTTGTTTAGTCTTAGCTAGTTTAGGTTCATTGCTGGTAGCGGTGTTGATGACTTTCTTGACTAACTGTTCAGGATATTGGTTGAGGTTGCAGAATGTGTGTTTTATATGTTCTAGTTCTTTATTGAGGAGTTCAGGATTGCAGATTTTCTTGGCTCTGTGGGTGAGGGTTGAAATGATAGCTGCTTTGACTTTGATGGGATGGTTAGATTGATAATGTATGTATTGATCGGTGTGTGTGGGCTTCCGATATACACTTGTTTGGATGGTACCGCCATTTCTATTAAATATACTTCTTTGGGGTGATTCTAGTTTAAATACTGACATTAACATTTATATATTTAATCAAGTACAAAAATATATTAAATCAACTAAAAGGTTCAATTTATAAGTATGCGTAGTGTAGTTTCATTTTTGTTTTGTTTTTCTATTTGCACAACTGTAAAAATGTGTTGATTGTTGTTGTTGTTTATTTTTGTGTACGTAATACTACTACTTTGTGAGTTTCCCCTTCAAACTTTCGATTTCGATTTTTATTCGCAAGGGTGATTACTCATATTAAATTTCAAAAGAAGATACTAAATCCCCCAGTGAGATTCTTTGAGCATGTCGGAAAATTTACTTTCATAAACCAAATATCTAAGAATTTCTTTATAATGGGATTTTTAACTATCTATTATAACATCTATATCCTCCGTTTTTGTATGTTCTTTTCAATTGTTCTATCATAACTGTCAATTACAATGTATGTGGAGAGGGCATCGGTAAGTTTTCGTAACTTTTGTCCCAATCCTTTTGTACTTTATTTATGTTCTATAGTACAATAAACTATGTTTAAACAAACATGGTATACCGGATATCAAAAAATCGGCCCACTCAGCATTAGAAGATCAGCAACATAAAGCTCATGCTAATTCATGACAAGAAATCTCTTTTAAAGATTTGAACTCTTATTACGTGAAGATAGCCGACATTAAAAATTAAGATCGTGGCGCGTCCTTGTGCGTTTTGCTTTTTGAGTCTGAGACGGGTGATTTTATTGGTATGGACATTTCATTGGCACTGTTTTCACATCCTACAAGAACCGATTTTCTGTTTTTGGGCGTAGTCTAAAAAACCTTTGGTTTCTAGAACATAACTACATGAGCATGCCTTTCAATTTTTACTTTGGTTTTAGCCAAAGGGAAAAAATATGACAGAATCTAACTTACGTCAGCCCGAAAGGAAAGACCCGTTCCTCTCATTTGTTTTCTTAGTCGATCTACTCTTTCATGACACCTGCTGGCTATCTGGTTTAAGTTCCAAACATCATTAGAAATATCATATTCATCCACGTCCGTTTTATTGTCACCACAGACAGGTTGGTATTCTTGAACTAATTTTTCAACTTCTTGTTTCTCAATTTCAATTTCTTTCATGAGTTCTGACAGAGTATTTTCGATCTCAATGCTAAATCTGTCTACACGAATATCTACCGACAAGTAGCTCGTATCTTGAATTTGGGCATACGAAACAAATGGAAGAAGAAAAATCAAACACGTTTTCAAAGACATCTTTGAATTAAAACCATACCAAGTTGTTAACAGTCTAATGTTAAATAAAATTTGATTGAATCAGTGGTAGTTATCTTTGGAATAGCAATGAGATTAGTTGTTGTAATCCTATCTGACTCAATTAATTGTAAACTTAAGGCCTGTACACACCAAGATTTATTTGTCGTCGACAGGCCAGTTTCTCGCCACAGACTTTTCATCTCCGACGGTACATGTAAATATTGCTCAAGAATTCCCAATCACCTTCATCATGTTTATCTAAAATGGTTACACCTCTTTTAGTTAAGTCCAAAAATAAATTGTCGATTTCGACGTGGTGTATTATGTTACTTTGTTTTATGTGATAACAATTTGTCTTCATTTAAAAGCTCGTTAGCCTGAAGTTCGCTCCCGGTGTTGGCCGAGAAAGTTCATCGAGATTTTCCCTTGTCGGTGGTTCGGATACGGTGTCTAAATAGTCCGGTGGCTGAAGGGTGGGGGGGGGGCGAATCGCCACCAGAGCTGTGAATTTATGAGACCAAGTTTTTCTAGACCAGTTTTTTGCGTAGATTCTGAATATGTGTGGTGATCAGGCGTTTGAGGGGGCGTTTTCGAAATATGGGGGTTCCAATGTCTACAACTGGAGGGAAATGTGATTATGTTGACATTGATCATATGTTATATATTAATAAAACATACATTTATAGGACTATCCATCTCTAAATAAGTGTATATAATGCCCTTGGACAACTATTTTGATTTGTAGGGGGGTGGGGTGGGGGCTGCATGTGTGCATGTATGGGGAAGACTTACAAATATTATAAGCTCAAATAGATATTTTGTTTGCCGTGACATAAAAAAAAAATCCAAAATGAATCTCTGGGTTATATTTTACCAACTTAAAATCTCTAAATATTAAAGAGCATAAGGCTCTATTGTTTGGAACCTTAAAATAGATTAAATGATCTGAAAGCACAAATTAATGTAATAAAGTGACTTATATTTCAATTCTTAAAAGATTTATTATCAATTACGTTCGGTGTTGGGGGTCACGGTGGCTAAGTTGGTAAGACGCTGGCTTGCTAGCCTGGAGGTCGGGTGTTTAATCCCTGCATTGGCCGAGAAAGTTCATCCCAATTTTCCGGCGTGGTCCCCCTTGTCAGTGATGCAGAACGGATGGGACGGAAAACCGAGGTCCCATGTACACATTGGCGTGCACGTAAAAGATCCCTTGGCTGTTGGAATTCGATATAAGAGTAGGCTGTAGTGCCGCTGTCCGGGCAAAATTTCCATCATAGCACACTGTATGGTATATGCCCGTCTTCATTAACCCAGTTCAGAGCAGAACAGTAGGACGTTAAAACTCATTTCATTTACGTTCGGTGATATACGTGAACAGTTCCATTCTACGGCAGTCATTTATGCCTGCAAAGTCTATTCTACAACATTTTTAAAAATATTACTTTGTCTTTTGGGAATCAGCCATAATTACTTACATGTTTTCTTGTGGGATGTGTTTTTCTTTGTCCATTGCAAATGGCGTCCGAAACCATAGAGTACACGACTCGTGTACTGAATTTGAAATTTTCTTTTTGTCTTAATATTCGATATTGGGATCCCAAATGTTCACTCTACGGCAGTCATTTACGCCTGCCAAGTCCGTTCTACACGATTTTCAAAAATATTATTTTGTCGTTTGGGAATCAGCCATAATAACTTACAAGTTTTCTTGTGGGGTGTGTTTTTCTTTGTCCATTGCAAATGGCGTCCGAAACCATTTTGTCTTAATAATATTATTCGATATTGTGATCCCAATTTTCACGTTAAGATAACAACATCAACATTGATTGAAATCGGTCAATATTGAATTCTAATTCATGTTTTTAATTTCGAATATAATTTAAAATACTGAGTTTAGCTCCTTTAAGAACCCAGAAAGTGATTTTGTTTTTCGTGACATAAGAAATTCCAAAATGGATTTCTAAATTGTGTGGTCATGTTTATTGAAGGTAATTATGATGACATTTGATATCTACAGTTATCTTTTAGACTAATTACCCTTTTGATTAAATTAATCATGTTCGTGATACTTTCTGACCTCTTCCCAGCAACTTTCTGAAATTAATGAATTACTTTACTTTCGGAATTGCGATAGAGTTATGCCGAATACATCATTATAGTTTAAAATTGCTCACTGTGAGAGCCATGGAGTGTCTCGTGTTTCATGATTCCTTGAATAAACGAACAAGAGAGAGCTGATATTCCGATAATGACTTTTCGGGGTTTGCATTCAGGTACTCGTATTAAAGGGAACTTTCATTTGTTTCCAACAAGCTAATATATTACGAAGTTTGGGCTTTATTTGTACTAAGACTGTGGAGAAAAACTAAACTGTGGTCTTATATACAAGCTTTTCGGAAAGGGGGGCGTTACTCCGGAACTTCAGGTCGCGGAACTATGAATATCGGTCGAGTTCGTCATCTGACTGGCCATTAATGCTTCACAAAATAAAACTAAGTGATAAGTCATTTCACTAATGAAATTAATTGTAACGAAATTGAATTTTTAGATAATCTCGTTTAAATTAATGAATTGATATCAAACTTCTTGAAAAAGAGTTATCTATGCTAACGGTTATTAACATATAGATTGAAAAGTCAGGGGACTAACTACTGAAACAATAAGAGCGACTGGAGAAAAGAATATCTCCACATATATTACTTTCATATCGACACACATTCCTCAATATAGCAAGTTTTACAGCATAGTTAAGACAGTATGGCCGATCGTTTGATTGATAGGCGTTAACTCCACCTACATAATCTCAGCTGTCTTTTGTCTGCATCCGAATTTGTGTTTTACCTTTTTGGATTTTTATAACAATTGGACAAAATAAGTGAGAGGGTAAATTTTCATTCTTACTTGTATTTTGGGCATGCATTAAATCAATTGAATATAGGACATAATATTATAATACAATTATGATAAATCTATAGGTATACACCAGTGGCGTCGTGCCTATTGGGGAAATAAAAATAATTTTATTGATATTATTAAGACAGAAGACCTGTCCGTCTGTATTAGTCATCACACGGTCTCCAGGAATTGTATAATTTGTCATTATCTGTGTTTAGTTTATTGCACTTTAAAGGAGCTAAATCGCTAATATTGTGGACCTAGAAATTGGCACAAATGAGTCGCAACACATATACTAATGTAATATGAATTTATATAAACTGTTTTACATTCAATCGTGTCCGTTTTACTGTGAATTGTCATCAGTTATGTTCGGCGAAATACGCCAGAAGTCTCAACCGCAAGTCAGTTTCTAGAGTCTGGTTATTCCTGTCAACACCGATATTATTTATTGCGCATGCTCTCCAAATAAGAATATGATATCACCGTTTGACATGACTTGTGGAACATGTCTAGCCTCATTCTTTGAGCACCTTGTTACAAATGGTGCTGAAACGCATTATGGTACACGATTCGTGTATCAATGGTAAAATGTTTATTTTGTCTTAAATATTGGATATCAGAAGCCCATCTTTTCCAGGTAAGATCACAACACCAATGCTGATTTAAATTACAAAAAAATTCGTGTTTTCAATGTCGAAGATTTTGGATGATATTGAGTTACGGACTTAGCTACTTTAAATAGTTTAGATGTCATTTGTTAGGGCATCGCTCAACAGCGTCCTCGCTTCGTACACTCTATCATTTAGCCTCGATCCGGGAGTATGACGTCAACGTAACGGTTAATCTCAGCTCACGAAGCCATAAGCCATTTAAAATTAAATCAGTCAACGAAATCCCGTTTAAATCCAAGCTGAATCCAAGCCATCCGTGGGTCTACAGAGTTGAGTTTGTGCTTGTTGTGTAAATAAAGATCTAATTTATAATTTCTATGACATCTGAAGCCTAAATAAAGACTTGCAATAATCAGATTTAGCTCTTGCATGATGTATGTTTAACTAGTAGTAATAATGTTACGTTTTCTACTTTCAAATATCAGAGCCCACTTTGTAAATTTTGCCAACGTATGAATATGGATACTAAATTCACCTTTTCTAATAATTATTGATTATAAGTTTAGATTTAATATATTATGAATATTGATAAATCTGGCACATAACTACGCGCACAGATAAATCCTGCTCTGGAAGCTTCTAAACTTGTGCTAAATTAGATATTATTCTCTTTGTTTCCTTTTTATAAAGTTCAGTTTACGATACGATCAAGAGGAGGAACATGGAATAAAATTTCATTGACCATTTATTACCAGACTTGAATGCTTAATTTGTCTCCCTTGTTAGTGGTGTACCAATACCGAGGGTTTGGAAAGAGACAACTTATAGTCGTTCGCGTTGCACGAAAAAAAAAGGAACCGTTTACACATTAGCCTGCAAGGAAAAAAACATCGACAGTAATTGGAAATCGAAATAGGAGTAAGCCGTAGCGCCGCTGTACAGGCAAAATGTCCGTCTTTATTAGCCCAGTTGGTGCAGAAAGTATAGGACGTTAAACCTCATTTCATTTCTTAATTTTTCTAATTCAGATTCATATATGCAAGGTTTATGTGAAACCCTGATATCTGCGTATTATATTATACAGACAGGTTACATAACTGATCTATTGACATTTATTTCATCTCATTACTTCTATAAATTAGTATTAGATTCTTGACAAATTATTCGCGGAAAACGAAGTAAGAAATGTCATATATATTCAACCAGCGGCTGCCAGGCAGGATACGCCCACATTTTCGAGAGATGGATAGAGAACAAGCTAAAAAGAAAGTGATTTTTCCTACAATCAGGGGCCATAATTCAGGAAATTACAATTCGATATGTGCAAATATCGAAAGGAACCGAGATCTTTGTGTTATAAACTTACATTTCAAGTTTCAACAAAATCGGATAAAAATTGTGACTTCTATAGGGTCCACAACCTTGATATACCATATTTTACGCTATTTGAGAACGAACAGCGGCCATTTGGTCTGTCAATTTTGGGCCGATTAACACGAAATTCGAACTCAGCCATCCTTAGGGTGATATAATAATACGGTTTTTTTTAAATCAGATAAAAATTATGACCTCTATAGGGTCCACAAGCTAAAAACGCTATTTTTCGTATAATCATGGGCCATAATTCAGGAAGTTACGGTCCGATATACGCGAATATCGAAATTAACTGAGATATTTGCGTTATAAACTTACATTTCAAGTTTCAACAAAATCGGATAAAAATTGTGACCTCTATAGTGTCCACAACCTTGATATACCATATTTTTACGCTATTTGAGAACGAACGGCGGCCATTTTGTCTGTCAATTTTGGGCCGATATACACGAAATTCGAACTCAGCCGTCCTTAGGGTGTAACGGTAATAATACGGGTTTTTTTTTAAATCAGATAAAAACTATGACCTCTATAGGGTCCACAAGCTAAAAACGCGATTTTTCGTACAACCAGGGGCCATAATTCAGGAAGTTACGGTCCGATATGCGTGAATATCGAAAGGAACCGATATCTTTGGGTTATAAACTTACATTTCAATTTTTGTTTCAACCAAATCGGATCAAAACTGTGACCTCCTTAGGGTCAACAACCTTGATATACCATATTTTTACGCTATTTGAGAGCGAAGGGCGGCCATTTTGTCTGTCAATTTTGGACCGATTTTCACGAAATTCGAACTCAGCCGTCCTTAGGGTGTAATGGTGATATAATAATACGTTTTTTTTTTAAAACGGATAAAAATTATGACCTCTATAGGGTCCACAAGCTAAAAACGCGATTTTTCGTACAATCAGGGGTCATAATTCAGGAAGTTATGGTCCGATATGCGCGAATATCGAAAGGAACCGGGATCTTTGGGTTATAAACTTACATTTCAAGTTTCAACAAAATCGGATAAAAATTGTGACCTCTATAGGGTCCACAACCTTGATATACCGTATTTTTTACGCTATTTGAGAACGAACGGCGGCCATTTTGTCTGTCAATTTTGGGCCGATTTTCACGAAATTCGAACTCAGCCGTCCTTAGGGTGTAACGGTGATATAATAATACGGTTTTTTAAATCGGATAAAAATTATGACCTCTATAGGGTCCACAATCTAAAAACGCGATTTTTCGTACAATCAGGGGTCATAATTCAGGAAGTTACGGTCCGATATGCGCGAATATCGAAAGAAACCGAGATCTTTGGGTTATCAACTTACATTTCAAGTTTCAACAAAATCGGATAAAAATTGTGACCTCTATAGTGTCCACAAGCTAAAAACGTGATTTTTCGTACAAACAGGGGCCATAATCCATGAAGTTTCGATCCGATACATGCCAATATAGAAAGCAGTCAAGATCTTTTGGAGATAAACCTATATTTCAAGTTTCGTCAAAATCGGATAAGAATTGTGACCTGTAGAGTGTCCACAAACAAATTGTGGACGGACAGGGGCGACGACAATATACGTCCACATGAAAATGTGGGCGTATAAAAACTCTTTTGTTGCATTTTAGCTGATAATCCATTGTCATGGTAATCTATTATTCTACCTGGCCGATGTTTATTATTTTGTATCTATCAGGGAAATGCCCGCCTCAATGTCATCATATTCAAATTGCCCTAACGACAACCTTTTTGTTCTGGTTTTTTTTTTTTTTTTTTTTTGCTGTCCATTCCATGTTCCAAACAGATCCAGCGATACGAAAAAAAAACGCGCCCAATGTATACATTGGTAGTTGGATCTCTGTCTCGGTGGGACTGGAAACCAGTTGGCGCTGCTGCTAATCGACTGCTTTTGGCTGGTATCCAATTTTCTCTGATTTCGGTTTCGATTTTAAAAGTTCGCAGTTTGCAGTCATTTATAATCACAACTTGGCATTTAGCCCCAAATTAAAATTGTCAGGGCAGACTGGTTAACTCTTGTTTCATTGCTCACCGCCCCTAAATCGCGGCGAAGAATACGTAACATGACGAGAAAACAAAACAGGTTTGAATCACTATTCCTGCACCTCACTCACAGATCACTCACAAAAATGCATACATTTCGATAATATTTCGTTATGTATACATGTATAACTACAAAATTCGGGAGCGAATTGTTTCTTTATAACATGTTGTCAGCCTCACATGGAGATCATTAGCTGATGTCCAGATTCGGAAACTGACTCAACTCGATCTCCCACTCTGTGATATGGTTGGAAAGTGTTTTGACGGTGCGAGCGATATGTCTGGTAAGGCATGGGTATACAGTAAATTCCAAGCGATGCTGCAGTCATAAATTCACAATATTTACATTGCTTCGATCATTGTTTAAATCTTTTTCTCGAAATGTGCTGAAACATTTCCCGAGGTCAAAGATGTGTTTACTCTTATTGGTTCCGTTTACACCTTGATGGAAGTGTACGTTTGGATGTTTACAACAAGCCCCTATGGGGGCTTCTGCAAGCAAAGGGAGTGCGGCGTTGAGATCATTTTCAGATACGATGGACAGCGAGAGTGGACAACCTGCAGCAGTCTGCTCTGTTAAACGGTTTTCCAGCACACAGACCCGTAACTAGGGGGCGCAGGGGCAACTTCCCCCCCCCCCCATCCTGTGAAAAAATTGTCGACCATAGATATACACTGTCCGTCAATTTTACAGCACCCCTGAGAACACTTCCCGCCCCCTCGTTTCTCTTGAGCTAGTTACGGCCCTACCAGCGCCTCCGAATATCTGCAGCGCGAGGATATCGATTTGGTTTCTGCAGTTGCCACTCTAAAAAAAACTACATCACCTCTTTGAGAACCCCGGATAAATTCGTGGAGTTTCTAGACAAAGCGAAAACGACGAGTGGGTGGTGTGGTATAGACAAGGTTTCAACACCAACAAGATACACCGCCACACGTTGCCACACCGACTGGCTGACGGCCGAAGTATTCGTGATGACACATTCATATGGACACACGAGAGACACTACGCGGTTTACTGGTGTATTGGATGAGATGGCCCGTCGTCAAGAGAATTGACTAGGTTCACCGATTCTACCTATTCTACTGCAAATCTTGAGCAATGCTGACTTGGACAATTTGTACACAAAACTTTGGAAGTTTATTATAAGTTTGTTTGGAGTATCAATTGACTTTATTTCCTTGAAGATAGGCATCGGGTCTCAGATTAAATCTCCGGGAATCTAGATTTCAAAATTTCCCTCATAGTAGTCATAACACACGTACTGTATGGTATGGCGTATGTCCGTCTTCATTAGCCCAATTCGGAGCAAAACAATAGGACGTTAAACCCCATTTCATTTCATTTCCTTTCTTTAAGAGTAATCCATTGCATTTCATTTCATGATTTCATGCTGTCAAATTTTCATGACTTAATCATGATCCCTCCACAAATTTAAGTGATTCTAGCATGTGCCACAGAACCAAACTACCAAAGATTGGCAGGCGCTGACACCTTCCACCGCCCACACGCCCACCCCCACCAAGTGCCCTGCGTTTCGTCTGACAGTTCCTTCGGAGGCCCCAGCACGTTTCTGCAGTAGCACGACACTTGACCAGACTGCGGCCCGTTTCCGTAGACTAGTACTAGTAGTAGTACCGGTACGTAAAAAATGTGATCATTTAATATTCAGAAGGTCGAAGTCAATCAAATGAAATTAAATATTGATGTGGGTGATTAAATATTATTTAAATTATTGAGAATTCGGCGTAGTTAGTTCACTATAGGTTTTTATCATTTAATTTCCAATTGAAAATTGCCAAACCTGATACTTTTGTTTACTATTGTGCAATCCCTATAATATTCAAAGGGAGGTGGCTCTTGAAATACTCTTTTTGCACACGACACGAAGGTAAAACTAGCTTCGGTCGTTTGCCATGCAGATACTCTACCACTGATCTATATAATGTAGACTTTTTGTTGTGTAAATTTCTGTATTATATTGAACATAGTCATGGACCATGTCCGTTATATTTCAATAATTATATTAGTTATTATTGCCGAATATAAAATATGAAGCCATTTATTGGAAATACTTCCAAGTGGCAATTGGTTATTTCTTAAAACGCCCGAATATATCCCTTTGTTATTTCCTTTTCGTGATCATGTGACCTGAGATAGTAAACACACGATCACGGGATACTTGATCAGTAAATTTTGTTCAATTTCCAACAACTGTTTTCGTTAATTTCTATCGAGTCACACAGGTTGAAGTATGTATCTTTCTATTTTGCTCCATGTCATCATCTAGATGTAAGAAAACTTTGGCATTCATTACTGGTGTGTTTTATCATTATGATGCTGATTCCATGTATTGGTACTAACTACTAAACTAGTAGACCGTAGCCCATGTGTGTGTCAAAACTCATGGTTTTCCCAGAGACTCAGGTCTACTTCCTCGTTACATTTCAAAGACTTGAAATTGATATAAATATCTCAATGATTTTATTTGATACATGTCGGTGTTTCTAAATGACCAATAGACCTCATGTTAGAAGTGAATCAATTAAATTTGATTGGTTTTGCAAAGTGGGTAATCCTGTCAATATCTAAAATTGTTGGTCATTGTTCACTTAGCATACTTAGTTTTACACTGAAACTCAAAAACAAAACTTAAATTAGTACGCTTAGGCAAACTGATTTCTAAAATTTACTTTTCAAAACAATATTTTAATTGGTGTCTACCACTAATCAGATTAATCCAAATCTTTACTTTATTTTAGGGTTGGGTTTAGCTTTTTTAATTAAATTCAATATTAGAGGTTCTTTCTAATAAGATATATTCTTAGAATTATAATTTAGTCAATTTGAATAACTTGGAAAGAAAGATGTTCCTCTTAGTAGCAAGCGAGTATTAAAGGCCCAATTGCAATGATGCACCGAAGATCATGCAAATTTCTCTTAACAATGCAGTGATAAAGCATCTATACCCTCATCGGACCAATGAGTGGACCCTGTTTCACAAAACAAAAACGATAATCATAGCATAGTCTATGTAGTTTATGTAATACATGTAACTATAAATAAGAAAATAACAATGGATCTATTTATCATCAATTTGAAGTCTGTGGCAAATGTTGTGTTTTTGACCAACATTCATTATTTATATATATGTATATATATCTGTTTCAGATAGTGGACCACCATTATGTCTAATCAACCGCCATCTTATACAGAAGCGATAAATACGCAAGGTAGAACTTCAATATACATGTATTTATAATAACTTTTTATATATTCTAACTTTATGTCAGAAGATAAGGAAATGGGAAGTTAAAAGCACTTGACAATCAGTGGATTACAAATAAATTTGAAAGAGTGTTGTAAAATGTGAAGAGCAGTTAACCAGTTAACACATAAATGTACAGTATGAACAATTTGTTGAACTACTAGATTCCGTCTTTATTAGCTCCGCCTAAACATACACTATGCAAGAGCTAAATCTGCCTATTGCAGGTCTTTCTTTAGGCCTGAAATGTTATATAAATTATTAATTAGACATTTATTAACAAAACAAGACCATAATTGACTTTCGATGGCATCGGATACTTGAGATTTTAACTAGATTAAAACTGTTCGCCAATTAAAAATTAGAAAGCGAGGCTAAGTCCCGATTATACCAGCGCCCTGGTTACCACTGTGCAAACATCTTGTCAAAACTACAAACAATGATAACTTGGCTGAGAATGAAGTAATTTGAATGAAATTTTCAATATTTTCTTTTTTTATCATCTATTTTTAAATTATTATAGCAAGAATGACCAACTCTTTACTAAACTATCAACTAATGTATCTTTAATGCACAAATGTAAAATAGAATTTGGTCCTTGTCATAAATTAGTCTCAGTGAATATCAACTTTTAAAACCTGTCTATTATTTCTATTTAGAATCACCTTAAAGGTACATTATGGGAGATTAGATAAAGAGCTGGCAGTTCTCACTATAATAGTTAAAAACTAGACAATGTAAAGGGAATTTGCTGAAAATTTCTGTCAAATCGATCCACTCAGAACCGAAATTTTGGCGATTGAATTTTCGACCTAGCCTCGATCATCATTACTAAAGTCATTACGATAAAAAACATAATCTCTATTATCCATTTAATGATTAAATTATAGATGGAAGTCGAACAGCAAATCGGAACCTTATCCAATAAACATTGCAGGCTACGATGCCATCATGAGTTAATTATGGTCTGCATAAGTTAATTAATGTCTAATTAATAATGTAGATACCATTTCAGGCCTAAAGAAAGACCTGCAATAGGCAGATTTAGCTCTTGCAAAATGCATGTTTACTTGATCGATTGTTTTTTAATATGACCTTAATTTTAAAATTAATGATTGATTGTAGGAGGGCCAAATTATGGAGCTATGCCTGCGGGTGCTGCCCCACCTCAAGGTTATCCTGCCGGTGCATACCAAGGTCCAGGAGGACCACCACCTCAAGGTTACCCTGCTCCTGCAGGAGCATATCAAGGTCCTGGTGGAGCACCACACGGTTACCCTGCAGGAGCTGCACCTGGTTCATACAACGATCCATCAAAATATCCTCCAGCTGGTTCGGCACCAAGTTATCAAACTTATAATGTCACAGTTCCACCCCAGACGCAGGTGGTCATGGTAGGGGGTTGTCCTGCTTGCAGGGTAAGTATATGTTTATTGATATTATTTAATGCCGTCGAAACAGGGCAAGTGGGGGGGGACTCACCCCCAATAATTTGCAAATTTATGTATTTAAACTATGCTGACAGCCCCCTCTCCCAATATGAATTTCGTTCAGACAGGCGTTACTAACAATAATTTTGACATTCTATCTCCATGTCAGATATGCCCAGAATACATTTGCATGCTGAAGGAGACACAGTATTCATATTTTGTCAAAACATGGGTTGGTTTCATTTCAGATTTTGTTTCAAGTAAGGTCATTTGTTAGAACTCAAGTCATTTATGCTTAGATTTAGGCATTTCTTATAAGAGAAGAGAATGAACTACATCCCTTTAATATTTATGTATTTCAGGTTGGACTATTGGAGGAGGATTTTACTTGCCTTGGAGTATGTTGTGCTATAGTGTTTTTCCCGCTCGGTATATTATGTTGTTTGGCTATGAGACAGAGGCGATGTGCTAACTGTGGAGCTGTCTTCGGTTAAAATCATTTTACCATGCAACTACCGATATTAGTTGTTTGGACAAATTCCAAATGATTTATGCAACCCAATTTAAGACACCATTAAATAAAATCAAATCATTTATTAACTATAAATTTTTACAATATTTAATTTTTGGAAAACTTTTTAAAGAATATATTTACATGTAGGCATACAAGGATCATTGATACATTTTCAAGATTAATTGTTACGAAGTTTGTTTTGATATAAAATAAGGGGAGGGTTTGGTTTTTTTGTTTTTTTTAAATATGTTTGTTGTTGATATGGTTATGAATTAAATAAATGTTTTTGTTGATATGTTTATGAATTAAATACATGTTAACAGTCATAACCTACTGTAAATATAAATGTAAATATGTATAAATAAGTAATTATAATGATGCTTTATTGAAAAATAGTTGATGTTCTAGCATTTCCTATTGTAAATACAAAAGATCTAAAAACACATTGGAGTAGATCTTTAATTATTTGTACGGATATTTGTTCAAGTTAAAAAAGAGCTCTTCTCCAAAACAGGCATAACTAGTACCAGTATTCATTTATTGTTACCTTAGACAGTTATCTTTGATAATACCAAAAGCGAAATGATGAAGTAGTGTGAGTCAAAAGAAAATTCAGTTTCTGCTTTCCAAATTTACTATTTTAATATGGGTAGTGTACAAGGCAAAAACAGGTGGGAGGGGCACGTTTAGTAGTAAAGATTAGTATATTTGTTTGGAGAAGAGCTTCATATATTACTTGTACCCAATAAATTATTTGTAATAGATTTTGAAAAATTTGACACTTACATTAGGTATTTAATATAAATGATACTGTAAAACAAATGTAGTTCATGTACTACTTTGAAATAATATACACTCCATTGTTATGAAGTATCAAATAATTTGAAACTCTTTGGTATACCATGGAACGTATACAAAACCAAATTTATTACTATTCCTGTTAAGTGTCTATGATAATATGTCCATTAATAAAGCCCAAATCAATAATCTGGTTATTTATCATGTATGTAATAACTTGTTTCATTTGTTATGTCTGGACTCATATCAAAGTTCTCAAAATACTGGGGACAAGTTATTGTTAAATCTTGTCAAAAGAACTTTTTGTATATTCATTGATTAAGCTTGTGCTTGCAAATCACACAATAAATGCATAATAAACTATTTTTTTCCTTTCCCACCATTGAAAGACACACAGGATTTGTAAACAAACTGCTTGAATGTACTTTTGTGGAATTTGTGCAAGACTGACTGTAAAAGGTCTGCAAAAGATACTGAATGTTGACAAATGTTAAAGTCATCATATCTTTGTAAATACCAAACGAAATGCGTGAACCATTTCAGGACTGATTTTGTTTTTAGAGATTCAACTTTAGAGATAAGAGTGTCTATGAAGACCTGGTTGTCCTGGGTGTCAGTGACTAGTTTCGTTTGTACTGAACCCTACAGACTGATCGGACTCACGTTCGTTCCTTCCTTGAGTTTTACGTCTACTTCCACCATGGGTGATATCCTAGACACGGACTTGCGTGGCAGGCATTTTTATTTATACTGGTGGGGTTTGCGAATTTGTTATCAGGGTAGGTAGCTCGCTTGCCGGGGTTGTACAGAGGTTTGACAACTGATTGTTTAGATTGAAGTGCCAGTGTCCATAATTTTGCTAACTAGGATGCCTTTGGTTGGTTTGTAACATTGTTACTTGTCATAACAATAGGGGGATAGTATATACAGGGTTCGTACGCTCCCTAGAAAGGCATGGAATTCCACCTATGAAAATTCCAGGCCTGGAAAACCTGGAATATGAGTATTTTATCATGGAAAGTCATGAAATTTTCACCTCCGTCCAGTGATCACCCTTTCTCCGAAATTTGATCCCATTTATTCAATTTGTAAAACTTATACGAAAGAAAAGCACCTTAAAGAAAAATAGATCCAAGAGTAGACAAACTTTCGTAGTCTTTTTTTTTTCAGACGTAACAGTCATTGGCTTGACAATCAATTTTTTGGCTTGATAATCTGGACTACGTCCTGGAGCAGTCGCGCTGAATTATCTCCCTTTCAGTTACTCGTCTGCTAGTCAGAGTTCAACTAGTGAGTTGTGTTTTTGCTTTCGAATAGCGTGATGAATTCTCTTTGATATACCCAACTAACTACAACAATATTAAAATACCCGGAAAATGTACATTTCAAGACTGTTGGATGACAAAAACTGATTTCTATTCATGGTTAATGCGTGACAAAACTAATTCACGAAAAGCCCGATGTTGCGCATGTCAGAAGTCTTTAGATATTATATAATAGTAATATGGGGGAAGCGGCTGTAAAAAGCCACGTCATGAAGAGCGAAAAACATTTAGATAATTACAGAAAATTAAAAGAGTGTGGTCTGACTCCTATTGGTCTGTTTTTTGCCTCATCTTCGGGTCAAACAGGGGGTAGTACAATTGAAATTTCAACAGAAATTTCTAGTTCACGTTGTGATAGTTTTGGCACTAAAAACGAAAGTAGGAAATCCCAATCATTGACTTCGCAGTGAATAATTGAACTTTGTTTAAAGTACTTGATGCTTTAAGATAACATTTACTACTCAGATTGTAGCCCGACTTTTATTTGGTAATTTAAGTGAATATTGGTATTAATGAAAGTTTCATAATTTGCAAGAAGTTGATTTCTTTGCATGACGATGTAGATTAGCTTATTCGTGCAGATTTAATTCAGTAAACATGCATAGACAAACTTCAGTGCAATGCTCTAATTTTGGTCCTGGAAAGTCATGGAAAAGTCATGGAATTTCTTTCACATTTTAGTGTACGAACCCTGTATATAGACATGGGTGTTGAGGTAACACCCATGAGAGGATTATAATAAGGCTAAATATAAATCCAAAGTTGGAACAGTCAGGGGTAGAGAATTGTAAAATAAAAATTGTTAAATTACACAGTATTTAACATTTTAAAACCTAACTACTTTATGGAATCAACGACAAATCTAAACTTGGGCACCCCAACCATTTTTATTTTTATAATATATTAAATTATTTAAATCAATCTCCATAAACATTTTGAATCGATAATTTGATTTTCTCATATCATTACAAATGTGCTTTTAGACACAATTTCGGTTTAAAAATAATTTAAAGTAACGATGCACAATTTGCATTTTTAGTTAAAATATAAAATTTCTCACAACTTAATCCACACTAATATGTATTCAAATTGATTAACATTGAATTAAGAAAACAAAATCAAAGTATGAATGTCAGATAACCTCCTGGCTCAGATTCAATCTGATTTAGAATAGTCCTGTCATTTCTGTTTCTAAAGTACAAGATGGTGTCAGGCTTATTACATGTATATAGCATAGCTCGATGAAATTTCAATTCAACATATCTTTGTAAACACTGAACTATGATGCAATGAGACTTTAAGCCTAGATTACCAGTTGATGAATACACCCTTATATGTTATTATTGGTCTTTCAAACTGTATACCATAAAAAAAAAACGTGAGCTCAGATCAGTTTCTACTTCCAAGTCAAATTTATATGGTTTTGAAAATATGCAGATCCCAAGTCATAGTTTGGAGCACACAGCTATGAATTGAAGAACAAAGACACATGTGGTTTAACACCCAACAAGGCCCCATGTTGACAGAAAATGGGCCTATAGATATCTACTATAGTCTCTGGTATATCAACACAAGTTCATGGATCTCATTAGTTTCACTCCTTGTAAAGGCTTTTAACTTTTATAGAATACATGTAGATATTCAAGACGTAATAGTTATATGCATACCTCAGAGTTTTGACTGATTTTTACTCCCTCTAAAGGCCAACCTTGCATTTGAAAGAATTTAATTTGTGATCCCAAACAGTTGCAAAGAAGTTTTTTGAACGGAAAAGTTAAATTCTGGTTTCAACACATTCTAACCTAACATTGAATGTAGAACCCCTGACTCCTGAGATATAAAGAAAAGAAGCACATGGGCATGTATATAGTACAGTGGTTAGAAGATATTTCGTTAACAGAGGCAACAACTAAGAATGGCTGCACTAAATTTCATAATGATCTGGAAAGAGGTTTCTGTGAAAGAGACAGTAATCCTGGCATGTTTTTGTTGTTTTTTTTTTTAAAAAAACACACATCTCTGACCTATTGATGGGGATGTTAACTGTCTGGATTTTGAAGAATTTTGAAAAAATAATCCTAAAAAAAAATCACCTCGGACATATTGATAAATGATGAGTAGAAGAGTTGATAACATTTTATTCTTCAAAATATACAAAACTCTTGTTAATGTAGAATGATAATACAGTAATTAAAATCAACTGTATTAATACTAATAGTCACGATT